TTCTGGTCACACCCGGAGGCCCGAGAGGCAGGGGAGCCGATGGTGTAAGCCCCGGTCCAAGGGCAAGAGAAGATCTATGTCCCAGTTGAGGCAGAGAAAACAGGTTCCCCCTTCATATGCCTTTATGTGCTATCCAGGCCCCCATGGCATTGGATGAGGCCCCCACACTGCAGAGGACCATCTTCGTTACTGTTAACTTCCCCCAAAAACACACGCCCGCAAATAATGCTCTGGCAGGACCCCAGTTGAGCTGACACGTAAAATTAACCATTACATCCCCACAATCTAGATGTCAAAGCTGGCCAAGAAAATGTCAAATACAGGCCGGGTAAAAGGACAGTTCTTGGAAAAGGGGGAACAGGTGGCTTCAGAAGCCCACCGAAGGAGAAAAGGAACCTTATAGTCCTGAATTGAATTAATTAAAGTGTGTGGAGCTAATGGAAACGCTACGCATTATTCGATTAGGGTCCGCTGCAGATTGCATGATATCACACAATACCAGAGTCTCTGATACAATGAAATGCCTTTTTGGGTGCAAATTAGGATCATTAAATGACACAGAAACAAAATCAAAGAATAGGAGAAGCTAGACTGAATGAGGTTAGGGACATTTCCATTAGCCACGTCGACACTTTTGCTCCGTCAATTCTTTAATCAGAAGAGATCAAAGTCAGTACCAAACACTCCCCATGTGTCACTGCAATCATTGCCTTTATAAAACACATGATGATTAAATTAAGCATTTGGTGAAGTCCTTCTGCAGTGTGAGTTCAGGGAACTTTCAATGATTCTTCTTTCAATGTCCTTTTAAAACCTCAAATTCAAGAACTTTCTTTTCTATTGTGCTGCCTCGGGCAGAATTCAACTTGAAAATTACAGGTAAAACACCGGTGCTCAGAGTGAGCAGACAAGAAAAGTGGTCCCTTAGAACACACCTACCTTTTTAAACGTATTACCCTCTGACCGTATCACATATTTGATGCATGGTTAATTCAACAGCCTGAATGTTCCTGAGCTTGGAATCGAGCAGCTCCAACAGATGGGCTGCTGACCCAGCTTTAAAGAATCTCCAACTCTATGTAATTTTATGTCGCATTTTCCAGGTTTTGCATTTTTCCGCTAGGGGTTGCAAGGAGTCTTACTCCAGAGAGGCCTGAGAACCACGAGGGGGAAAATTGGGGAAAAATGAGTTAAGTCATGTAAAAGTGCAGGAAAGGGGTTTTCTTTTAATCAGGAGCAAGTACCCTGAAGCTTTGCTCTGGAAATGGAAGGAAATGATGATTTTGAAAGGTGTAAAAAGGAGGAATAAGCAAGGGATACGGCCGACAATCACCCTCTGTCCTGGCGTTATTCCATCCCACCAGAAACAGTGGGCAGGGGGCCTCCCCATCAGCCCCATGGGCATCCAGCCTGGAAAAGGCAAGGGTGGCCGAGGGTCGGAGAGGCCACCCTCTCCACAGCGACAGAGGACAGCTGAACAGCGGTTTGACTAGCATAACCCTCGATGAGGAACATCTTCTAGAAGCCGGGCGGCACCATTCAAGTACAACCACCAAAACTGTAATTTCACTAATGAACATTGAATCCCACTCTCCCATAGCATGCTCTTTGCTGCTCTGCCCTATGTAATGTTTCTAAGAGAAGCTGGTTCTACAACATACCTCTTGGATCTTGATGTACCGTTCGAATTAGAGGTGACGTTTGGTAAATATTACCTCCAGGGACCTTGTAGCCTGTCCTTTGGAACCAGGCTGATCAACTCTGTTAGTCTTAAAATGCAAATCAAACCCAAGAAGACGACGTGGGTTGACCTGATGCCATGGCACCACGCAGGAGGGATTACTGTGCCCAATCCAATCGGAACAGAAAAAGAAGCCCGACGACAGGGGAGATTGGAGGTAGGTCTCCCACCAGCCAGCACAGTGCGATCCTGGCCCTCCCCGTGGCCTCTGGATTCTCTTCCGCATTTACTTCGCTGGAATCCCTGATTGTTTCCCCTCTGTCTGCACAGTATCTCACTGCCTGGTGATCACTGTCTTGCTATGGAGTAGATGTGTATGCATCTAGTCACCTGAGGGGGGTGGACAGGATGCCTGGGTCCATCGAGGTGTCTTAGTTTTCTGTGAGCATATGTCTATGTCTCTCCAGGAGACCCTCATATTGGCAGCTACAGCTATTTACTGATCGTTTAAGGAGGGGGAGTATTGCACTGAGCTACATCTAAGTGGCTATGGATTACAAGACGCATCCCGATGTCAAACATGATGCAACATACAAATACGTGCGTTATCTGAGTCGATGGAGAAACCGAGACACAAGAAACTCATTCGGCCAAAGTACAGACTAGCAGCGTGTGGCCGCTGCAGTGTGGACTGGGTCCGTGTATGTCGGCATCGAATTGCTATGTTATGTGTGTTGTGTTGTGTTTTCACTATTTTCCAGCTTCATGGAGGTATGACGGGTCTACACAAGGTGAACACAATTAATGTACAAAATATGATGTGTTAAGACCTATATGTACACTTTGTGTTACTATCACCATGGTCTAGTAGAAAACAAAACAGGCTTCAAAACAGTATTGTGCTGTGATCTCTCTCTCTCTTTTTTTAAAGAAAGAAACATTTGTGAACATCAAACATATCTGAGTTGCAGAGAACACAAGTCAAATAGTCTGAGGTTATGATTTCTGGAAAGTGGCATGTTTTGGGGTGGTGGGCAGGTTATGTGCGGATTTATATTTCTGTGTGTGTGTGTGTGTGTGTGTGTGTGTGTGTGTGTGTAGACTTTTTGTTCCTCACACTGAATATATATGCTTTTACTGTAAAAGCATATCAGTGTGGAAAAAAACCCCCACTAGGATCTACATTTCCAGTTTTGTTAACCAGTATTTACTTTGTGTGGATACAGTGGTGAGAACGAGAGCAAAGCAGATCCCGGTTTCCTCAGAGTCGCGGTCAAGGCTGAGACGGGCGCCGGAGGGAACACGCAGCTCCAAGCCAGACCCAAGTCTGAGAGCAGAGGAGGAGTGTGCCCGGCGGGAGGGTGGGGAGGGGGCTTAGAGAAGCTTCTGGAGGCCATGGCATCTGGGAGGGGCATCGGGGGGAGCCGCGATACCCTGGGGGGTGGGGACCAGGTGCAAGGGTGAAGCAGGTTCCGTCTGGGGAGCGAGCGGGGGGTTTAGGACTTAGGGGTTTGAAGTGTCTCCGAGAGGTCAAATGAGATGTCTAGCCCCCTTCTGAAGCTCCAAGGACTGGCCTGACTTGGTGAAGAGTGGAGCCTCCTTGGGGGGGAGGAGGAGGCAGAGTGAGGGGGACTTGCAGGGGGAGGCGTGGAGGGCACATGTAGGCTGGAGACCGGCCTGAGCGGTGTCCAGATGGCCCGAGGTGACCGTTGCAGCTGCGGTCACCACTGGACGCCGTGGGTGCTGCTGGGCGCTGAGCTAACCCGTTCCCTGTCGTGACATGTGGGTGTTTTGTGAGGTTTGGGGGGGGGCAGCCGCACTGGGAGGGTGGAGGCCAGAGTGGGGGTGAGGACAAGGTGCCTGGTCAGGGACGCCCTCCTGCCATGACCGTGCCTTGGGGGCCGGCGTCACGACGAGGAGCCTGAGGAGGACACGGAAGGCCCAGGCCACTCACACGGCCCTGAGCACAGGGGCTCATGTCACACAGACCTCTGATGTGTGGCACTGTTTCTCGGGCAGATTTGGGGTCACCCCACAGGGGCTTCCATCGATGTCACTGTTCCCAGAGCCCAACACCGCTTCCCCAACTCCAGGCTGAGCACTGGGAATACGCCAACTACAGACAGAAAATCCAAAAACACACTTCTCAGGGCACCTGGGGGGCTCAGTCGGTTAAGCATCCGACTCTTGGTTTCGGCTCAGGTCTCATGATCTCACGGTTTGTGGGTTCAAGCCCCACATCAGGCTCTGTGCTGAGCCTGCTTGGGATCCTCTCTCTCTCTCTCTCTCTCCCTCTCTCTCTCTCTGCCCCTCCCCTGCTTGCTCTCTCCGTCTCTCAAAAACAAAAACAAAAACAAAAACACACTTCTCGCTTTGTGACACAGTGGCTAGGACGCACGCTTAGATGCACGAACGCACTTGGCCAAGCCCGTTAACCCAAGCTGTTGTCTCGGAAGGGTCTCGAGTTGAAAACACACGGGACAACATTTTCTTTATCTGTTCAACAAACACGTGTGGGACACACCTACCGAACACCAGGTGCAGCAGGGGACAGGGGCGGCTGGGGGCCAGGACTCCCGTGGGCCCCGAAGGCCCGTGCCCGGAGGCAGACCGGCACCTTCCACGCTCACGGCGGCACCGAGAAATGTGTGCAAACCGACGTTCTGCCTCTGCAGAAACCTGACGCGGATCCGGGAGAGGCTTCACCCCCTGTGCCAACAGCCCACGGAGCTTCGCGAGGAAACCGAAATCGGGAGGTGTCTCGGTCCGAGGAAAACCCGACAAGACCCTGACCGAGAACCCCAATACTCTGGGAACGGAAGGCAGGCGCGTTATTTCCCTCTCACGTACCAGGGACCCGTCCCCCCTGCAAGGCTTGTTAGGCCGGAGGCTGCTGGGCCACCCCAGAATTTCTCCTCCAGCCAGCCTGAGGGAGGGCCAGAGAACGCACACTCCTCACAGGCTATTCCGGAGAGCTGTACCTTAAGAACCGCGATCCTGGGATATTCTCGTCAGCTGCAAGGTTGGCGTCTCCGGGGTGCACACAGCAGGGGAGGGGGCGCCCGGGCCTAGCCGCATTCTGGGCCTGCAGGGAAAAATGCATGTGTTCCGTGAGCAGAGCTGCCTTCACGGCCACGCCGGGAGGCTACAGGACGCCAAAGCCACGGCCGAGTGCTGAGCTACAAGAAATATGCATTTGGTCTTCACCCTGTTCCTGGCACAGAATTCCTAAAACCCTGGGGAACTTCTAAGCGAAAAGAGCTTCAAGGTGTCTTTTGTTATGTTAACGAGCGACTTCTGGAAGCGCCCCGGGGCGGGAGAGGGGGTGGGTAGGTTCCGGAGTCACAGGTTTCCTGATGAATCCCTGGCTAGATCGGCTGGCAGAGGGCAGCACGCAGAGGGAAGCACACTGAAGTGGCAGGGTCCAGGGGTTACAGCCGAGACAGGAGGATCCACAACACTGCAAACAGTTCCTACGGATCCTTTAAGGAAAACGTTTGCTCCTGCCCTGTGCTGCTGGATGCCGGAAACAGGCGTGTCCTCAGTGGACAGCAGGTAAGTTGGGCCCTTTGCCCGTACTGGCTGCTGTATTTCTGATTATGCCCATCATCACACTGATGACTTTTCTGCCAGGAAGATGCTTTTCACCCAGGAGGTCAGTCAGGCATTGCTTCGAAAATGCAGAGCTTTATTGCTTATTCCCAGTAGAGGTCGAAAGAAGGCTGTGTAGCGACGTTAAATGTTAGGAAATAAATTGTCAATAGATACTCGCTTTTTTAAAAGTTTATTTATGCATTTTGAGAGAGACACAGAGAGAGCTTACGTGCAGGAGGGGCACAGAGAGAGAAAATCCCAGGCAGGCTCCACAGTCAGCGTGGAGCCCGACAAGGGGCGTGATCCCACGAACCAGGAGATCGTGACCTGAGCCGAGGTCAAGAATCTGATGTTCATGGGGCAACTGAGTGGCTCAGTCACTTCGGCTGATCCCACGGGTCATGGGTTTGAGCCCCGCATCAGGCTCTGTTGACAGCATGGAGCCTGCTTTGGATTCTCTGTCTCCCTCTCTCTCTGTCTCTCCCCCAGCTCGTGTGCTCTCTCAAAAATATATAAACGTCGGGGGCGCCTGGGTGGCGCAGTCGGTTAAGTGTCCGACTTCAGCCAGGTCACGATCTCGCGGTCCGTGAGTTCGAGCCCCGCGTCGGGCTCTGGGCTGATGGCTCGGAGCCTGGAGCCTGTTTCCGATTCTGTGTCTCCCTCTCTCTCTGCCCCTCCCCCGTTCATGCTCTGTCTCTGTCCCAAAAATAAATAAATGTTGAAAAAAAAAATTAAAAATATATAAACGTCAAAAAAACAAGAGTTGGACACTCAACCATCCTAGCCACCCAGGCGCCCCGGCAGACACCCATTGTTTTTACCGTGATCACCGCTTTCATTGCTCATAGACCCACTGACCGTCCCCTTCATTACCAGAGTACTCAGGTGTCCCGACTGCTCCTGTGACATTGCAAACCTTAGACTTCGGATAAGCCCCGAGGCCCTTACTGTTTCATACTATGAATTAGGTCATGCTGATGACAGTTGTCTAGGTAAGAGCATTCGCACAGGTTTTTGGACAGAATTTACAATAAAACTGAGATGTATTGCCGTCTTCGTGGTCAGTTCTGAGTATGAACTAGGGTTATCCTAGCATTCCAGGAATCCAGGAATTCCTTTCTTTGAGGACACTGGGGGACGTTCAGCTCAGCAGCCGACAGTGACCTTGAAGACATCTGCCACACTGAGCCTTGTGCACTCTGGCTCTGGTCCTGTCTCCCTCTCAGTCAGTCCTGCCAAGAGACATATTGCAAAGAAAATGTTTGTGGCCAAGGGGTGTGAAGGCAGGCGCAGGAGAACCGGCCAGGGGGTGCTGGGTGTTCACTCCTGTTTTTGTCCTTAGTTTCGTTTATGCTGGCATCGCCTTCCCACTGCTCAGTCCGGGTAAACATATCCTAAAGACCATGTAACTATGAATCCATCACTCATTTGTTGGCCACATCGTGAAGGGTATACTACTTTCTAGGAGCCCCATAAAATTTACTAGGTGAGTCTCCGGGTGTGTCCGGAATCGCACAACAGAGAGAAACTGCATTGGGTTTTGATTGCAGGCATCCTGGCCACAGCACCCGACTTCCTCAGCACCCATTCCCGAGGATGGCAGTCGGAAAGAGATGTTGTCTGAGGACTAATCTGGTAGGAGGCAGGGCTAGCATTCAGCCAGTTTGTGCCCATGTGTCCTTTCTGGTGTTCTTCCCGGTGTCTTTCCTGACTGATCCGCCGTGGCCACCACGGTCTATTACTCTAGACACATCGTCTGACTTTTTTCATTATTTTTTTTAATATTTATTTGTTTTTGAGAGATGGAGAGCAATCAGGGGAGGGGGAGAGAGAGAGAGAGAGACAGAGACAGAGACAGAATCTGAAGCAGGCTCTAGGCTCCGAGCTGTCAGCACAGAGCCTGACGTGGGGCTCGAACTCACAAGCTGTGAGATCATGACCTGAGCCGAAGTCAGACGCTTAACTGACTGAGCCACCCAGGCACCCCTATGCTGTCTGACTTTTAAATGGATAGCCAACATGTGACGGGAATTAACCGACAGTGACAAATGTACGTGTTCTCTGATGTGTATTGATCCAGGTTGGATGGAGAAAATCGTGAGTTGTGTTTCTCTGTTTATCCATTCTGCAAAAATTAACTTCATGTTGTTAAAACATATAAATGTACCTCGAGTTGTACATCGTCGACAAGATGAACCACCCCTCCATTAGTTGCCTGTGTCCTTTGCTTGCTGCAAAACAGCAGATATGCATTTTCCTTTCATCCTAGTGAAAGCTGGCTAGCAAATGAATTCTCAGAGTTGACCCGTGTTGCCCTGCAAGCTTATAGAAAATGCCTTTATTGCAGTCACCAACTGGGTGGCATACTTCTGTATTGGTTAGAGGTGTTTTGCAAGCAGTTTTGTATCATAAATGCGAAACTAACTATGGTAGATTATGTTACTGGTCGTTATTGTTATTTTATATGAATAGATGCTCATCAAAATTCACCCTATCCCAGATATTAAAATAGATACATTTAAGACCTCAGACACCTGGATAGGAGGTGGGAAGCCTGGATGGGAAAAGCCTATTTAATTCGTGCGGCTGTCTGCTCTGTTAGTTTATCTTTATCTGAGATGTGATTTACGGAGAGCTGCTTGTGCCTCAAGGAGAATAATTAGAATCAAGATGTGATTGTTAATGCTTATTTATTTTGAGAGAGAGAGAGAGAGAGAGAGTGTGTGAGCAGGGGAGGGACAGAGAGAGAGAGAGATGCAGAATCCAAAGCAGGCTCCAGGCTCCAAGCTGTCAGCACAGAACCCGACACGGGGCTTGAACCCATGAACTGTGAGGTCATGACCTGACCCAAGTGGGATGCTTAACCGACTGAGCCATCCAGGTGACCCAAGATATGATTTTTAAAAATTTACTAATATTTTATTTTGTAGTGCTTATACTCATCTGGGTTTTTTTTTGTGTTCTAATAGAGAAAAAAAAAAATATCATCAGGGTCTGAGCTAAAGAATCTTGAGAGAATCTTTCCTGGGGCGCCTGCGTGGCTCAGTTGGTTAAGTGCCTGAATGTTGATGTGGGCTCAAGTCATGATCCCAGGGTCATGGGTTTGAGCCCCAAGCCAGGCTCCACACTGGGCACAGAGCCTGCTTAAGATCCTCTCTCTGCCCCTCCCCCCTGCAAGCACACTCACATGTTCTCTCTCTCAAAAGAAAGTATGTAGGTCTTGCATTTTCAGAGAGAGGACAGTTTTAACCAGTGCTATTTTAAATGTTTTTGTACAAATGTGCAATTGTGTGATTATATGATGTTAAATGGATGCATATTGGTAATAAAATGCCTTACTCTGCACAGTCTTGAATCTGAAGTACGTTATTTGAAATTTATTTCAACGTATTTAGACGGTGATGATTGAGTACCGTAAAGGCCCGTTAAAAAAGTGCTTCTCTGTGCTATATGTTCAAGTTTATCTCCAAGTCAGACCATGCTGCTTCTCTCTCTAGTACACACAATATAATGATCTCCCTTTAGATAATGCAACTACACCCGGTATGATTACAAGCAAAACGTGTCATTTAAAAAAAGATTTCTAGGATTTGTCTTCTGGCAATATCGAATTCCGACTTGTAACTAGGCAGTCAGAATTATCTATTGCAATTCCAATCACTGAACAACGTTCTCTTGTGTTTGTGTATCAATCATATGGGAGCTGTAACAGTGTAGACGCTGCACAAATGCTTTAAAGTAAATGGGTTAATGGAAATAGAGACAGTTCCTTTAGTAAAAGGGTTTTGAATCTGCATCTCGGAGCCTGTAATTTGCAATTGTCGTTACCCACAAAGTTTGTCTTATCGTCCTGGCGCATTTCTATTTTTTTCTTAAAAAGCTACTAATTCATTCTTCAGTCTGTTTTCAAACTTTTGGGCACTGGTTTCCTTCATACTCTATCAATAGATGACTCATGCCAGTCATGTAGATTAGATTCCAGGTGTGTCCATCACAAGAGCCAAATATTTCTACTGAATATGGTTTTTTGAGCTTTGGATTATCTACTTGCTGTTGAGTCCCATGGGTTAGACACTGGTTTCCTAGAACCACATCTATTTCATGCTGGCAGCCTCAAACGAAACAAAAAAAATAATACCCAAATAAAAAATATGAGCATAATCTGTAAAGATGTGCCCATGTACGTGTGTGTAAAAACTGCCAAGTCGTTGTTTTTGCTTTAAGTAACAACAGAAAGATCCACCATCACTTCAGCTGTGTTTAGCAGGTGTGAAGTCCTTCCCCGGTCTGTGGGGTCCTCGCTTAGATGATCTAAGATCGAGATGCCAACTGTAGACTCTTCAATTCAAATGATTTACTATCTTTATATTTTAATAGCCTGAATTCGTAACATTATAATCAAGACGCGGCAGTGGGAGAGAAAATAATGTGCGTGACCGCACGGAGAAGAGACGCCAGTCTGACACAGGTCGAAACCGGGCTGACCCACGTGGAAATAAGTCCACAGCACGCGCCTCAGGAGTAGCGGGGAAGTTATTATGGTACGATAAATGAAGGCCCCTGTTATCTTTTTATGGATGGTAATCTGTTAAAGGGTATCGTGCATAAAGAGTATTATTGCCTAAACGTCACAAATATAAACATATTTCAACTTATTTTTAGAGAGTAATTTGCTGTGTTGTTAATAGTGCTAAAAATTAACTGGCATTAAAATGGAACGAAGCTTCTGAATAAAATTTAGGGCACAGTACACATAACACCCACCACGCACACACACGCACACATCAGTGCACACACAATATGCTCTCTTGCTGTAAGAGTTTGGAAGTTGAAAAAATATATATATACTTTCAAAATCCTGAGGTCAAACATAATTCTGGGGTCAAAACATACTCTTGCGACTGTGCACGACATAGTGAAATAAAATATGTTTTACGGGTGTCAAAGCAGGAACAAAAAGCAGTGCTTAAAAATCTTGGTATTTGAGGGGCGCCTGGGTGGCGCAGTCGGTTAAGCGTCCGACTTCAGCCAGGTCACGATCTCGCGGTCCGGGAGTTCGAGCCCCGCGTCGGGCTCTGGGCTGATGGCTCGGAGCCTGGAGCCTGTTTCCGATTCTGTGTCTCCCTCTCTCTCTGCCCCTCGCCCGTTCATGCTCTGTCTCTCTCTGTCCCAAAAATAAATAAAAAACGTTGAAAAAAAAATTAAAAAAAAAAAAATCTTGGTATTTGAAAGATGAATTTATGGCCGCCTAAATCCTCGAGTGGAAAGACTGAAATGCCTTTATTTCGACTGCTCGTTGCCTGCAAAAAGCCACCAGCATGATAAAGAGCCGTGGAACTGTTCTGGAAGCGTTCTTCTACTGTATAAAAACTGTGGCCACTCTTCTCTTCCTCAACCCCTGCCCCCACCTCGTCAACATCCTTATCACATGTTCTATGGCCCAGTGGCTTCGAGTCAGGCACTAACCACACTGCCTTTTGTCCTCTGGCAAAGATAATGCATCTGGGTTTCCTTAGTGACATTCTAAACACAGGTTTTCTGTCCTTCTGTACGGAGTACACAGTCTGGGTGGATGCCTGATGTGTGCGAGGCCCCCACCCCCATCTACACACCACGCTGGCTCCCAGGGTGGCCTCTGCGCTCCGTCCAGCCTGGCATTGTCAGGGGTGGGGGCGCTGCGTGAGGTCCTGAGGTCGCTCTCCAGCGTCCTGCCCCACAGCCACAGGGGGCTTTTGTGCCCTGCCTTCTTGATTTGCTTCTACTTTCTGTTGTTGCCATCTGAGTAAATTACACCGTGAAGAAAGTTTGCCTCTGGGAAGAGGGAGCTGGAGTGCCTACTGAGAATTTTACGTGCATAAATGTGGGGCCAGGGAGACTCGGGGTTCGGGAGAAGGCAGGGGGGAGGGAGAGGCATGTCGGATGCTGTGCCCCGCTATGAAAATACCAAGAGATGGGGCTGGGAAGGTGGGCAACAGGAAGAGGAATGCAGTTATGACTGCTCTCATCAAATTCTGTCCCCGCAGACTGATGTCAGGAAAAAATCTATCGGAGAAACAGAGTCCCGAGGTCTCTGGAAAGTAGGGATTTCGGAGGTCACCGGGAGATGGGAGTCAATAATATTTATGCTTCTTTTCAGCTAAGAGAATCACCGTGTAATCATTTCTGGAGGACACCTGCAGCACCGGCTTTGGTCAACAGGACCACGGACACAAACAAAACACACACACTCACTTCCCTCCGGGATGTGACATGGTGGACCAGCCCTGGATGCAGGCACACGTGGGAGATGTGGAAGCTGACGACTTCAGGCAAGACTCTTCCCCTCTCCTCCGTGGCTTCCTCAGTGGGCTGTCCGGGAGGGGCTGAGAGAGAATGTCGGCCGCTACGAGCTTGACCGTCTTTAAGTGTGCTCGGGGGTGAGGGCGAGGGGAGGGAGAACCGTGAGCCATCACTGTCCTGGGGCCGATTTAACCAAATGCCTAGGGGGAAATCTGGCTCTCAGATAGGCTGGCGCTTAAACATGAATGATATACATGTTACTCATGGTACAGCGGAGGGAAAGACATCACTCACAGGAAGTGATTACAGTTCTTTATCTTCTGGGCCCCAGTCGCTAAGGAAATTCTGACTGAGTGAGCCAAAGAAATCAGTCCCTTCGGAGCTCAGGCTAGTTAGTCATGACAGCTCGTGTTTGCTGTTATTAATAGCGGCCGCATTTACCAAGTGGACAGACCTGCAGACCTAAGCACAAGTCCGTGTGCACGAGCTCGCTTTGATGCACATTTGAGGTAAACACAGCCCAGCCCCATTTTTCAAATAAAGAAATCGAGAGCCTCAGTCTGGCAGGAAGGAAGACTCCAATGGAGGCTTTCGAAGTTCGAGTGCCATTCCTTCTGCTCTTAGAGCTCTTTGGCTTAGACGCGGGCCTCTGTGAGCTTTCTCGCGGAGTCATGCCAGCGCAGGCCAGGCACCGGTCATGCTGTGCCACGCGGTCAGACTCGTCCGTACGTGCTAGCGGCAGGTGCCGTGAGTCCCCGAGTTTTAGTCAGAAGAAAAATGCCAAATCATGTTTGACTTTTACCAACAAGTTTCCTCGGGCCCGGAGCGGGAGCTGTCTTCCGGCATAATTAACTCGGAAGACGTGCGTGTCTCTGGGAGCTAGAGGGCTTGACGGAGGTCCTGATGTAGATGAATGTCACATACTTTCGTGAGGCTGCTTTATTCCTTTTTGAAATGTCATCTCGGGAATCGTTCATTTCTCCGGAGACGGGCAGCTTTTATTTCCACGGGCAAACACGCGGTTTCACACGGGATGTCTTTCAGTCTTGGCGAGGCAACGAGAAGAAGAAACACGGGACTTGTTTAGGGCTGCAGTGATAACTGATTGAATGTGAGCTTCACTGTCAAAATCAGAACTTTCCCATACTATCTGAGGAATGAAAACACATCCTGATTAGTAATCCTCACCAAGTTCGGAAGGTTAGAGGTGATTCAGTCTCCGTGAACGTGGTCTGGTCGTATTTTAAGAAGGGCCTCTGAATCATGTGGAGTTGTGTCAAGATATGTGTGATGTTATGTTATTTTAAAAAGGCAGCTTGGAGAGAGGAAATTGAACCATCTTTTTTCAAAAAACTCTGCCCTTTAATGGAAGAAAAGGGCAGGTCATTTCCCACACATCTCACTTACTCTGCGCAATGTGGGCTGTGATGTATTTTTACCACAGACATATTCTTAATGTGCTCTCATATAACCTTACTTACTTAGGGTATTTTAAGTTTGTAACTTGAGCTGTTCTTACTTAATATTTATTGATAGATGTGATTAAATGCATGACTTATAATCAAATAAAATTTACTATTGATCTATTTTTCTCTTGATGGCTTAGCCATCTGGAGGGATGGCTGTGTAGACATATGTACTGTTGTATGAGTATAAAAAATGCATAATTCTAAGCGAACTTCTCAACTTTTCTCAACTCAGAAAAAGAGGAATAGAATCCATCTTCTTTATCTTCCTGAGTTGTAACAACATATTTGAAAGTCCTCGGACAGTAACAAAACAGTGCTGGTGGGTCAGACAACAGCTAGGTCAGGATACCCTGTTAGGCTGGTTGGTAACTTGATGGCTCAGAATCAGGTATATATTATCTATTGCAGCCCCGTGAGGTGAAAGGCATCCCGGGGTGGGGGTGGGGGTGGGGGGGGGCAGGGAGGGGCTGGCTTCATGTGGTAAATCCACTCTGGGTTCATCATTCAGTCGATCTGTCAAGCACATTGTTGGAGGCATTCCCGGCCCCTCAACAGAAACCCTGAGCCAGTGAACCACTCTCAGTAGATTCACCACGAGCCAAACTTCGAATTCGTCCCGTCTTAATCCCATATGTTAAGGTAACTGCCATTCTTATTCTCCAGATTGCTGCTGATACAAATTGTCCATCGTGCAGCTCTTTTGGTGTGTACCACACCCCATCACAGATTTGGGACTACTCACAGGCCACGATGGAAGGAGAATGGTGAGAGCAGATCTTAACAAGGATTATCAGTGAGTTCTCGGAGCCGGGGGCCTTAGGGCTCCATCATGAGAAGGGGACAAATTTCCTGAGGATTCCACTGGCAAAGAAGGCAAAGGAGGCTGCCAGAATTAGGAAGTCAAGATCCCTAGCTTCATCAGAATTTCCTCATATAAACCAAACTTCCAAATCCCATTTCTTTCCAATAAATGTCCTAATGCTAATAAAAGAGACCCTGTGAATTTGGGAATTCAAATTGGGCTGTAATCCCTCCACCTGCAGGATGAGACTTGGGGTTTAATTTTCAGAAATCTTGGCCCTCTGGCTACAGGAGATAGGATTTCTTACACGGCCATTCCAGGCGCTTTTGGATTCCTTACATAGACCTTAATCTGGGAATTTAAAGCCCCACGCTCACCGTTTCCTTTTCCTAAGTTAGCATAGTTCGAAGTAACCAACCGATCCAATTATACTCCTTGTTCCCATCACGACGTTCTCAATAAATGCCTGGCCACCCAGAGCCTGGTCCTCAGTAGGCACTTACTTGCACGTACATAAAGGTGAAAATTTGAGGAGCTATTTCGCCACTATATTCTCCACACTCCTTTACCACTGGAAATAGGGTCATTAGTGCCTTTACATCTAATCAGACCAGAGACGAGTTCCAGAAAACCCAGAGATAACTCAGAGAGCTCATCCTTAAGATTCTGTTCCTCTGCAACCACTCTCAATACCACACTCTGCATTAGTCAAATTTAAGTCAGGGAAGCACAACAACTGTGTAGGCTTGTGTTCGAGTGTTTGATCTGCAGAAGTGGGAGGCAGGCCATCTCTGTATGGTTGTTGGAGCTTAATGTCCACAGAGGGGCAGGCGGGAAGGAAGATGGAAATGGGATGGAGGAAATAAGAAGATGATTATAAACACAGACTGAAATCCACGTCCTTCTTGTCGCCTTGGCCCCCGGGCATGGTCGCATGGGGGAGCCGCAGACATGGCACTCTATCTGCATTGTTGACCAGATGGCCAGGACTTTCTCCTCGGGTTTTCTAATTTCTTCAGGGAAACTGCTTAATGGTTTTTTTTTTTTTCATGTTTATTTATTTTTGAGAAAGAGAAAGAGACAGAGTGTGAGAGAGGCAGGGGCAGAGAGAGAGACACACACAGAATCCGAAGCAGGCTCCAGGCTCCGAGCTGTCACCACAGAGCCCAACACAGGGCTGGGATGCACAGACTGCAGGATCATGACCTGAGCTAAAGTCGGACACTTAACCAACTGAGTCACCCAGGGGCCCCTTAATGGCTATTTTTAAGTCATCTAGAAGCATTCTTAAAAACCAGCCCACAGCTGTTACATTTTGGTTGTTCTTCCAGAAAGTTATTTTCGGATCTTTCTTGGTCACATCGTCCATCAGCAACAATATAATATTTGTAAAATAACGTGTGCACGGCACATGGCACAGATGGGCTTTGGGCTAGCTTCACATGTAAGAACCCTTCCTGGCCTTCCATGATGGATAACATTTCACTGCCCGGTGCACAGTTTAAGCATCCCTGTCTGTGTCCTGATCTGACAGGCGAGGAACGGACGATGACGCGGTCAGTCACTGGATTGCCACAGTTGGAACTGGGTTGTCACTTCTTTACTGGGCTGCGTTTGGGAGAGCAGTGAAATAACAAAACTCGAAGAAGAAGCACATGCAGCTGGGCGTAGCCTGAGGACCTGGGAGCAAAGACCCCAGGCAGCGGGGAGGAGCCCAGCTAGGACCTGTGCGTGGGCTCCGCGCTCTCCCTGTGCTGGTCTTGTGTTGAGGTTGGCCACCAAAAGAAGGCGATGGCCTGTGAATGGCCACAGACCACATACCTAAGTTGAGCCAGAGTACAAACCCAGAGCTGCTTGCTAATGACCTTCAGGTAAACAGCGGGACTGGGGTCACTTCCTGCTGCCAGGTTTTGACGAAGGGAGGGTATTTTAAAATGTGCTCTAAGAAGATGAGGCTTAAGCACAGGTTTATGGAGCAGACGTTCACTTGACAGAAACCCTGCAGGCAGCTGAGACACAGGACAGGCCCTCTGCTCCAGGATCAGAGTTAGAGAGTTTGTTTAGGGAAAGGCAAAAGGCATAATGTCAACATGAAAAAAAGAACCCAAACACAAAGTCTCAAACTAATTGCTTAGAAGATAATTTGGGAGGCGGGGCAGGGGGGAGTTGGGATTAAATATCTAAACTTTATGATATTCAGCATCTTTGTAACATGTGATTGAAACCTCTGCTTTAAGAGTCTCAAAATGTATCTTTGTTATGTCCTTTGAAGAAACAACAGACAAAATCCTTCCTGACCTACGGACTGATGTGTCTCCTGTCCCAGGCAAATTTCTCAAAAACACTGATTATATGGCTTGCTTCCATTCCCTTACCATCTTCCCACTTATTTTTTTAAGTTTTATTTATTTATTTTTGGGGGTGGGGGGAGGGATAGAGAGAAGGAGAGTGAGAGAATTCCAACGTGGGGCTCGAACCCACAAACCGTGAGACCATGATCTGAGCCTAAGAGTCGGATGCTTAACCAACTGAACCACCCACGTGCTGCCCCACTTTCCCACTTGTCAACGCCCTTTCACCTGATTTCCAAAGGTGTCCTAGGAATGGCTAGAGTGTTTGACAGACAGAATGTGGCCTCCTTATTAGAAGAAAGGGGGAAAGAGGGTGAAGTTGTCTGTCTGCTGAGCAGGGCACCACTTACTCTAAAAGCCCGAGGGAAACAAAGTCAAACGTGACCGTTCAGCTACAGGTGAAATCCTGCATCTTTGAGGCTGTACGTTTGCATATTTACTTGGCTGAAGATTCACAGTGACTTTTGTACCGTACAACTGTTCCCACT